ATATATATATATATATGACACCATTTCTTCACATTTATCTGCCTTCAGAAAATAAGCAATATTAAAAAACAAAACAATCCAGAGCTTAATTGCTACGGTTTCAAAAAGTCTCTTGATAACTACTGTCCCCTTGAAACTTACACTTGACCAGAAAATTAGAAAACCTTTGCTCACTAAAATATTTTGGAATTGATTTTGCTAGCTTTGCAACAGATGGAACTTTATTATTATTATTGCACAGACTCTGTTGTCAATTTAGAGTATAAGCCTGGTTGTTTGAAAAAGTACAAATCAGACTGTGCAGTTGCTTCTGTTTTTGCTCTTTTTTTGTGGAGGTGGTACTGACATAACTGACTGGCAGTATTTCTTCATCAGTTGATTTCTCAGAGGCATAGGCTTGGATGTTAGGATGCTTGGTATGATTGATATATAATTTTATTTTTTAAAAATAATACAATGTTTTATTTAAAATGTTTAATTAGTGCAAGTATCCAAAGGTCTGCAGACTGCAGAATTTTTACTTTTAATAAGCAACTAAATGGTATAAAAGTTATAAATCTTTTTCCTCTAGTTGTTGTTCATCTACACAACTTCTCTATTGCCTAAGCCAGACTGAAGTCCTGTTTTACCTAATCTGAAAAAACCTGAACATTCCTTCGCCTTTTTTGAGTATATTTTGTTTCACTTCTTTGTGTGTCTCCATGATTTTATTTATAAACAGAAAATGTTTATTATATATATATAATAAACCCTTGTAAGGTGGTTCTTTGTCCCTCTCTGTCCATATGCACAACATGGCACTTTTAGATCTTGAGAAAGCATGTCACACAGGGAAGTACAAAATCCTACTGTCCCTCTAACTGTAAGCCCTAGAACATGCTTGCACCCCTGTACGTGCTTGAAGAAAAGCCCAAAATGTCCCATGACTCAAGATGCACAATGATGCTTCTGTGTCTGACTGCCCTCAGAAAATCTTACCGTGGGGACGCCTGTAGATAGGAATTAACGTCTGCTGTATATTTCAAGCCTTTCTGTTGTGCAAATAAAATTGCTATCTGAACTAAAACCCCTGGTGTTCTGAACCTGCTAAAGTATACCATTCTACCCCTTGGGCTCCAGACATACGAAAACTGTGAAGTAAACCTTTATGCAGCTGAAAAAGAAATAAATAAAAGAACTTCCTTAACCGTCTCCCTCATTATAAAGGAACTCAGAATAATAAAAAAAAATTTAGATCCTCAATACTCCATCCACCATAACTCCTCCAATGACTCATTCTATTCTACGTAAAATTAATTATGATCCATTAGTAAATTAAGATGTTTGTTTACACAGTCAAACCCTTTCCCTCATTTAAAATCAAAATGGGTTATCTTCATAGAATGAGCAAATACATCTTCAAATGTCATCTAATTTTGTTTCAAAGTAACAAAGCTGTTTCTATAAATTTAGATGATCCCTGATCCAACTCCACTTCTATTTCTTTGAACAACATTGTTGTGCTCATTGTTGTGGTGGTTTTTGCCAAAAGGCACTTCAACAAGATATCTTGTTTTCACAGATGCTGCTCACTAAACAAGAGGAAAATTAATTATTTCTTCACTTTGAAATATGCTATATATCCCTGTGAAATTGAGCAAGTCCTTTCAGCACAGAAAGAACAAGTATTCTTGCAGCCTTATTAATGTGTCTCAAAACAACAAAGCAGGAAGTTCCCCCCCTTTTTTAAAAAAAACCCCTGTAAATTATTATGGCTTTCTCTCTGCCTGTAATTTTCATCATAATCAATCATAGTCCTCAACTAATGTACTAATATTATGAGCACATAGGATAACTGAACTCCAAAGTTTTCCAAAATGACTACTAGTCAACCTGGAATTTCCTTCTGAAACGGTAATTATGTTTCAGCTTTAGGCAATGCAGCTTTTGTAGGACNTGATTGGTTAAGGGGCTTGGCCCCTTAACCAATCAGAACTATCGCCAAAACTGAACACTTTA